TTGTTTCCACTTTATTTTCAGTTTTCTGGGCCATGTGTGATAAGGTCCCAAGACTTGCCCAAGTTAACCCAGTCGGTTTCCATGGCTGAGCAGGGATTCGAACCCTGGTCTCTAGGGTCAAAGTCCAGCACTCAAACCACTGCAACACACTGGTTCTCTAGAATTCTAAATACTCCTCCTTAACTTGCAGATTCCAGTATTTCAAAGGCTGTTGCCATAGCACTTATAGTGGAATCACAGTGCTATAATAGTATAGTGTGAAAGGGCCCCTGAACAACCACCACAAAATCGTAGCAACTGATGTCAGTCTTTTGTTGTTGTTGCTGTATGCCTTCAAGCTATTTCTGACTTATGGCGCCCTTAAGGTGAACCTATCATGGGAGCTTCTTGGCAAGATTTGTTCAGAGGAGGCTTGCCATGGCCATCCTTCTGAGGCTGAGAGAGCGTGATGTGCCCAAGGTCACCCAGTAGGTTTACATGGCTGAGCTGGGATTCAAACGCTGGTCTCCAGAGTCATAGTCCAAAGCTCAAACCACTGCACCACACTGATGCTCAGTCTGTGCTAATGATAAGGAATTACTGGCCAGCAACAGGGAGGTCATAATGGGTGACAGAAGAAAAATATTTCTTAAAATCTTTCTGAGCTGTGATTCTAAAGCAGGCATCTTTTCCTGTCTGACTGCTGAGTGTGAGCTAAAGCTGGTCTGTCAGTCCTCTGCAGGTAGTGAGCTTTGCTCTTCCTCCCACCTTCTTCCCTTAGGCTCTTTCCTTGCCTTTGTGTTTGTTAATTTTAGCATTGGTCCAGCCTGGCTTCCTAGCAAATCCACAGTTTGGTCTTTCCCCTTCAGACTGCCCAGGAAACAGTTTAAGAACATGCAAAGGTTAAAAGGACCTGTCTGGACACTGCTAGCCTCACACCCTTCCATTGCAAAATCAAAAGACAGTCCCTGAACTGCACACTGAGACCAGCATCTCAAACTTTCTCTGAAATAGCTATATAGGAGCACTTTAGTTT